CTCCCAGTATGTTCTAGTTAACTTAACAATTGAATCTACTCAAATGAGGCAACACGTGAGGGCGTGATCAAGTTGGTGTCAACTGGTGAGCATTCGCTTAGCATAGTGGATAGCCCACAGTTCACCAAGTTTATAAAACAATATCTTCAACCTTGGTACAAACTAATTATAAGAAACATTATTCATTCTTATTATGCCCCCATTTGGTACAAATTAACAATCAAATTTTAATCTAAATTAAAGTCAATAATTAATTTTAACCACACATTTTATAGGATCCACAACTTCTCAACCATAATTTTAATCAATTTTTATCAAAATTTACTAAAAATCCAATTTTAATCCCCACCAAACAAAGGCATATTTCTTATTACAATAAAAAAATAAAATTTATAATATATGATTTACACAAATATGGTATTGTTATATCTCTTATTCTAACTTGTGGGAGAATATTATTAAAAAAGATTATATAGTTGCAACTAGTAGATCAATTATGGGTAATTCATAAAAGAATTATTACTTTTAAATTATTTGAACCTTCTCTTATAATTTTAATGCTTTAATGGTCAATATTAAAGAATTTTATTATGAGAATAAAATTTGTAATTTTACGTTTGACAATGAATCAATTAATAAAATAGTAATTGATAAATTTGCTCAGCTTATTAATTCCAATTTTGGTGGTATTTTTTTTCATGTTGTTATATTTGTCATTTTTTTTAATTGTGCAAGATGAGTTAAAATTTTCTTAGAATTATTGTTCTTGCACCCTATACATAGTTATGATATATTTTAGGGACATAACATTATTATTTGAAGTAGTCACACCTCTTATACTCATAATTTATTTAGTAAATTTCTCCTCATCTACCCGTGATTTTTTCCATCTTGAATTTTCAGGTTAATCTTATGTTCTTGTTCTTATTTTATATATTTCTTATCCTTGCTTTTGTGTAACAAAGTAGTATTAGAGCGATATTTAGTTTTCAGCAATGGTAACTATGAAGTACGATATTCCGCTTTTGGATCGCGACACCAAATTTTAGCTATGGTAAGTGAAGATGCAGGTTGTGCTTGTGTGGATGGGCTTGATGATGTTTTCCTAAGGTTTGATAAGATGTCTTCATCTTAAACACCGGAGGAAAAAAAAACAACAAAAAGAATCAAACGCCTCATTTCAAATTCATCTTCATCTATCAAATTCAATTTTTTGAGATGTTCTAAATGAAAGAATCGTCGCTGCGTTATGGTTAAAATTAGAACGATTATGCATAATGAAAAGCCTTAATGGTAAATTGCATTTGAAGTGGGGTCTGTACTCTTATCATGTGATAGAAGACACGTTTATAGATGATCACTTAACCATCTTTAAGGAAATTGTCTTTGATATGGAGACCGTGGAGGTTAAATACGATGTAGAAAATTTATGGTTGATTTTATTGTGTTCGTTGCCCTATTCATATACAACTTTTATATATACTATTTTGCACAGTCGTGACATTCTTACACTGAATGAAATATATGATGCTCTGTTCTCTATGGAGCAGATGAAGTAGCTTGTGGTAGGAATTGATGCTCAGGTAGAGGGTTTTGTTGTTCGTGGGAAGACACATTTGAAGAATTTTGGTGGTGATATGAGGGATAGATCGAAGTCTAAAGAATAGACAAAATTTGTAATTACTACAACAAACACGAGCACATCATATTTGATTGCTATAAGTTGCAAAATAAGAATAAAAGAAATTTTGCTAATTAGAAAGGGTAACAATCGAAAATTTTTGGTAGAGTCAATGTTGCAGAAGATGGCCATAGTGATGGAGAACTTCTAGTTATTTTTTTATGACGACTCCAAATTTTTTGGGCATTGGATTCTTGATTCAACTTTCATGTTTCATATATCCAAATCATGATTGATTGTCAACATATGAAACAGTTTCTAAAGGTGTTATGATAATGTGATATAATGCACATTGTAATATAGCTGATACTGGAACGAACGTAGTTAAAATGTTTGATGGGGCTACCAAGATACTTGGTGATGTGAGACATGTTCAAATTTGAAGAGAAATATTATCTCTTTGAGTATTCTTAATTCAAAAGAGTATAAGTACACTAATAAATGTGGAGTCCTAAAGGATAGCAAATATGCCTTTGTTAGGATAGAAGAGCATAGAAGGTCTGTCTCATATATACTATAATTTGCTCAAGTTTAGATTTTTCATATGCAATCAGTAGATACATAGTAAATCTTGGTTAAAAAAAAAGTAGTTCAGTGGATTTTCAGATACCTATGTGGCTCTACTAATGTTTTCTTACATTTTCGAAAAACTGAGATGGAGTTATTAGGTCAGTCGATTCTAGTTTTGCTAGATATCTTGATAAGAGAAGATCTCTTACAAGTAATGTTTACTATTGCTGGTTGTGCTATCAATTGGAAAGCTACTCTATAGACTACAGTTGCATTATCTACAACTAAGGCTGAATACATTGCTATTACAGAGACTAGTAAGGAAGCTATTTGGTTAAAGGGGCTGTTTGGTGAATTCATTAAAGACTTGCTAAATACCATAATCTTCTATGATAGTCAGATTGCTATTTCCCTTATAAATGATCAGGTGTTTAATGAGAGGATGAAACATGTCAACGGTATCATTTTGTACATGAAGTTATTGCCCGTGGTAATATTATTGTGAGCAAAGTTGTTACCAAAGATAATCCTTCTAATATGATGACCTACTTTCGATAGCCAAATTTGAGTATTGCTTGAACTTGCTTGATACTTGTTGTTGAGTTTGCCCTTGCGGGCACTTGTGGAAGAGGTGGAGAGTTTTTGTTGAAGAGTGGAGTTTTATTTCTTGTATTGGAATTTGCATGAAAGTGAAAATTTGTTAGAATACGGCGACCCTAGTTCTGTTTGACTTGGCCCGAAAGCTCACGATGCAACATATGTGTTGAAACGAAAATTATGAGAAGTTTCAAGGGTATGTGGTCGTAGGGAGGTATCGTGATATGATGTATTTTAGGCGGAGTAGTCGTACCTCCTATTCTCGTCTTTAATATAGTAAATTCTTCCACTCTGTTTGTGGATTTTTCTCGTTTTGAGATTTCACATTAATTTTGTATTCTCGTTCTTATTTTATATTGTCTATTCTTGCTTTGCATAACATATTTATTAACAATTACATCGACAAAATCATGAATGAACTAACCTTTATTATAATATCACCTAATAAAAATAATTTATAAGATTATGATTGGAAAATTACTTTTAAAAGTGAGAAGATTTTTTAAAGTTTTTTTACGTCACCAACGAATTGTCATATGTATATTATTGTGCTAGTCCTAATGTTCTTGGTCATCTTTATTTTATTGCATTAAATTTCAGAAATTATAGATTTGATCCCCTTTTCAGTGATGTATTAGTTGCGATGAAAATTAAAATTTAGAAAATATTGATAAGATTTTCCTATATTGATCCCCTTTTCATTTCACTTGGGGCTTGTTTGATTTGTGGGATTTTTTATTTTTCACAATTTTTTTTGTTTGATTGCAAAAATTTTCTTGATAATTGATTTTCCACCCTCCCCCACGTGACCCCTCTTCTTTGATTTTATGGAATTTCAATTTCTATGGGTTTGGTAGAAAATCAGTTTTCCAGCATTTTTTTTTAATTTGGTAATGAAAACAAATTATATCCACAATTGTAACAAATTCTATTACTTTAATTGGCAATTTCATAAAAAAACAAAAGCCAAACGAATACCAAAATATCCAAAATTTAAATATTTTTCAGGTAAAATATTATATCAATCCAACACATTTAATTAACAATTTCTAGTAAAACAAGTTCTAGGCAATTCAATTCCCTAAAATTCGTTTTCTTTTTACCCAAATTCTATTCTTACAATCAAATGGACCCTTAATGTATATAAAGCATTGGGACAATGTAGAATACTGAGTAAAATATTATTTGATCAGGTAATTGATATTTTAATTCATCATAATTTGTATTTTCTATAATATTATTCACTTTAAAGAAATTGTATACATTAAAAGCTACTTCATGTCAATCTCAACTCCATTTATACTAGAAGTAGTCGATCCTAAATACATAGAACGGATGCAATTTTTCAAAAAATATTAAGTCTGCTCATGGGCTGACTCGACTTGGCTCATAAGCCCGTGAACTTAAGATCGAACCTAGCAAGGGATGAATTCGACTTGTCACTTAAACGAGCCGAATTCGTGGTCATATAGTTGACTTCACTCATTGCCACACCCAGTGTTTTGAAAAGCATAAAGCGAGCTTAAACAGCCGTAGGAGAAGTTTCGACGTAAAAAAGCGTTTTTTTATTTATTATGTTTTTAAAATTTTTAATCATTTTAAAATTATTTAATAATTAAAATAATACATATTAAATATCTAAAATTATAAAATACAATATTTATTTAATAATTCCTACTATTAGTCAATGATACAATTTTCAATTTTTCGAAATGCAAAAATTAGAATATATTTCATATTTTCAATTTTCAATCGACAAGTCTTATTTAATAGATTTATAGGAATTTCATACATATTTTTGTAGTTTGTAATCAAATAAATTTCTAGATAATTATTACATAATGTAGATGACCTCAAAACTTAAATCTTATTTAACTATTAAGATAAAGTCATTTTTAATTTTTGTATAGATAAAATTATTTAAAAACTTGAAATTAAAGTCAAATGAATTTTTTTTTAAAATAATTATAAGCTAAAGTCAAATAAAAGACTTAAAAAAAACTAATAAAGCGGGTTTACGGAAGAAAAAGAAATGAACAAAAAAATTCTACCATTTAGGAATTGAAAAGGAAAAAAAAAAAAAATTCGTCTAGCTGCGAAGCGAAACGCTTGCCCGACTTTCAACCTTACCCAAGCGCCGCCTAGACGGGGTTTTTAGAATATTGGCCACCCCTATATTGATTTGGAGAGAGACACGCCATATCTGCTAATGGGGGCTGGACAAAGACAGAAGAAATCCTAACCTAACGCCAAAGATAACTGCGGGACAAGCCACACAAATTAACTCAAATTATAAAAAATCAAGAAGAGAGAGAGGAAGGCACTTTACTACTTTTTTATATTGCACGCATTCATGGCAAAGAAGAGAGAGTACTAGTCTACTCTATATGGACTGGACAAGAAAAGAAGAAGAAAACTTTACCCATTTCTCCATACCCATTATCCACTGCACAACAGACATTTTCCCTTCAGATTAACTATAACCAAAAAAAAAAAGTTACATAAATGCAAGTATACGGATTCTTGACTTTCTGGATCCAATAACTGATATTTTGTATTTTAAAGCTGGAGGGAGGATTTGGTTTTCTGGGTTTGATTATTGGATGAAGGGGATGCCCTTACCCTTTGAATTTGAGGGGAAGGGGGTGGATTTAGAGCTTCTTGTTTTCAATAATAATAATTTTAGGGCTAATTCACCTTGGTGGGAGAGCAATAATTTGAACGATAATTGTTTTTTGAATAGCTGTAGTGAGCCTGCATCTGTACTTGATATTGCAAGTAGTCCCAGCGGGGCTATATCTATATCTTCGTCAACTCTGTCTTCATCTTTAGGAGGCGGCGTAGACATAGCTGGTGGGGGGGCTGCTTCCACTGACACGGCCGGGGTGGCGGCAGTTCCAGGGAATAACGAGAAAAATCCATCCTTGAAATGGCGGCAAGACTCAACTACTGCCACCAGCTCGAATACGGGAGTTGATTCTGAGTTACTGCCCGTTCCTCCATCTCTTGAGATTGGGACTGCCACCACGGGAACCTCCGCCGGAAAATGTGCTATGGACGAGTGGGAGAGCGTGTTTTCGGAGTCAGCCGTCGCCTCGCCAAGCCAAGAACAGTCCATTCTGCGGTGGATCATGGGGGATGTGGATGACCCGGAAATCAGCCTGAACAAGGTTCTTCAATTTGGGACTGCCCCACCGCCTCCCATGGCGGAGTCCGAGTTCAACGGTGGTTTTGGGGTGGTGGATCAAGCCTTTGGTGCGGACACAGTTGGTCAGATTGGTTCAAATTTTGGGCATGACTCTAGCTCCCCCAGCAACAGATCCAACAGTGAAAAAATTGGTTTGTTTTCGAATTCATCTTCAAACCAATCAAATATTTCCAAGTTCCCCAACTCTCAGAATAACATTTTTTCTTCAGTGCCCAACAATCTTGGACCCGTTACAACTCCATTTGGTTTTGCAGAAATGGAGGCTCCCATTTTCACCCCACAGATGTTGGTAAACCACCAAAATCAACATCCACAAAACCCATCATTTTTCTTGCCATTGCCATATGCAAACCAACAGGAACAGAATCCATTCAAGCCACCCCAGGCAAAAAGGCACAACCCGGGGGCTGTCGGAAAAGGGCTCGAGCCAGACGGTCAGATACAGAAAGGGCAGTTTTCAGTCCCCGGGCAAGAGCTGTTGATGGGAAGACAACTCCAGCAGCAGCAGCCAATGTCTCATCAGTTTCAGTTACTTCCCCATTATCTGCAGCAAAGGCCACCGGCTGCAATGGGACCAGGATCAAAGCCGAAAATTGGTGGGGATGATTTAGCATATTGCCATCAGCAACAGCAACAGCAACAACAGGCTATAATTGATCAGCTTTACAAGGCAACAGAGCTGGTCCAGATGGGGGATTTAATACTGGCACAAGAGATATTGGCGCGGCTCAATCACCAGCTCTCTCCCACTGGTAAGCCTTTCCATCGGGCTGCTTTCTATTGCAAGGAGGCGTTGCAATTGATTATTCATAATAACAACAATACAATTCCCTCTAGTGCCACTGCGCCACATTTTAGTCTCATTTTCAAGATTGGTGCCTACAAATCTTTCTCTGAGATCTCACCCCTAGTACAATTTGCAAATTTTACTTGCAACCAAGCCCTTCTTGAAGTCCTGGAAGGATTTGGTAGAATTCATATTGTGGATTTTGATATTGGTTATGGTGGGCAATGGGCTTCACTAATGCAGGAGCTTGCATTAAGGAGTGATGGTGCTCCCTCTCTTAAAATCACTGCATTTACGTCTCCCTCAACCCATGATCAGCTAGAGCTGAGCCTCACTCGGGAAAATCTAATTCATTTTGCTAATGAAATCAATGTTGCGCTTGAGTTTGAGGTTATGAGTATTGATTATTTGAATTCTGGTTCATGGTCTCTGCCTTTTCAAGTATCAGAGAGTGAGGCAATAGCAGTAAATCTCCCAGTTGGTTCCCTTGCCAGTTATCAATTATCAGTTCCGTTGGTTCTTCGGTTTGTTAAGCATCTGTCCCCTAAAATTGTGGTTTCTGTGGACAGAGGATGTGATAGGATTGACCTACCGTTTCCTAATCATATAATTCATGCTCTTCAATCCTATTCGAACCTTCTTGAGTCTCTAGATGCTGTCAATGTGAATACAGATACTCTACCAAATATTGAAAGGTTCTTGCTCCAACCAGGACTTGAGAAAATTGTAATGGGGCGTTTTCGTGCTCCTGAAAAGACACAGCATTGGAGGACTTTGTTTTTGTCATCGGGATTCTCCCCCATAACATTTAGCAATTTCACAGAATCACAAGCTGAGTGTGTGGTGAAGAGGACTCCTGTTCGAGGATTCAACGTTGAGAAAAGGCAGTCTTCACTTGTTCTTTGCTGGCAACGGAAGGAGCTTATCTCGGCATCGGCTTGGAGATGCTAAAACTATTAGTATATTTCACAATTCAGATTTATTGCTAAGGTGCCCACAGCTCACTGTTTTAATCCCTTGAACATTTTGATATTTCTTGCCTGAAATTCCCCTTTGCTATTATCTATGTGGCTTAGGCAGATTGTTTCCAACTTTATATGAACCAGACATGATGGTACTGGATGTTCTAATACAGTTCCGTTATTTCAATTTTTTTGGTCGAACGGGGTGTTACTGTATGGTTCTCTCGTGCTTTGATGGTGAAACACATCTATTGCTTCTAATTCCATAATTCTGTTTGTAACCCTTACACTGTACACTGCTCCAAACCAAGAACTGGAAAAACAGATGAATTAACTCTTCAACTAAATCTTTGCTTTGTGCTGCATCTGGATCTACACATTGTGATTTGATAGGATAGGTTGTATGGATTGTATGGAATTATGAACTTTGATATCTTAATTTGGGATCTTGATTCTTGAAGGCCTTTTTTCGTTTTTTTTTTCCCGTATCACTGAATTTGTCAAAATTATTAACTCCCTTCAGATTTAAAGGCTTACCTTTTGTCAACTTATATAACTATCAAGTATTTGTCAATCATATAATTTCGTAAATCTTCTTTCTCGCTGTCTAAATTTTGTTTTGGTAATCCTCATGTTCTGTGATATTCCCAGGAATACAGATAATTTATGAATCCTGTATTTGTCATTTATATACAATATTCTGCTTTTGTTCTAACTAAACATCCATCCATCCATCATTGTTTTACCCTTGTTTTATATGATCATTTTAACTCGTCTTTTGCAAACAGATCCTTTTATCCTGTAATCATCTTCTGGTTCGGTTGACATGTGGCCAGTAGAATGAATCGGACTTTTGTTGTTTCTTTTGGACTGTATACTTATTGGCTTGTCTTAGCCATGAAAAATGGGGTTGCTCAGGACAGTAAATGCGAGATAATATCCTTTGATTTCGGGTATTGTAGGTCTTAGCCATCGGATGTTGGCCAAAATTCCGTTTAGTACATGTATCTAGAGAATTACGCGCTCTTTCAATACACTTGCTACTTTAATTATTCCTGTGTGTCTGCATTATGTTATTAGTTTCAGCATTTGTTAATAATTCTCTTGTCTTTTTTCTTAGTGCATCACATTACTATGAATGCTAACAGTTGTATTATAATGCATTGAATTTGTTGCTCTTAGGCCTGATTAATTTCTTAATAGCCTTCCTAATCTAATCACATGGGACTTGTACTATTGGACAACCCCATATTATTAATTTAGGCTCTTTCTTACATCTCCTTGGGAGTTCTTAATTCATTACTTTAATGTACATCTTTAAACTGTCATTTAAAGCGATTACATCCATTTTTGCTCGTCTGCTCGAGTGCTAGTATGTGTTGGAAATGCATATGTGTACTTGTGTGATGATATGAGGGCTTAATGATCTGTTTTCTGCTGAACAGACAGATTCGTCTAAAAACTTAAACAGTTATAAATATGTGACGACTATTTGGTTTACATGTATGTGTATCGGTAGTTCTCGATGTTTAGGGTTGAGATGTTAAAATATGCTTTTGTCATAATATTGCTCAGTAAAAAGTCTCAAATACCCCTGCTGAATTTTTGTTTTAGACTGTTGATTAAAATAGGGACATGTCTTTATTAAATAATATTGGTTTGATTAAACAATACAAGGTGACAGACAGACATGTCCTCTTTTGTCTTTGCACAGCTCATCAAAAAGAGTTTTCTTCTTGCAGTTGTCTTGTGTTTGCTTTATATGTAATAAAGCACATATACCCAACTGTTATGGGGTCCACTTTATTTTCGAGTCGAGTCATTAGTAGTGAATACGAGTTTCATTTTCTATATATTTAGGATCGGTCGAATTCTTTCTTGTCACTCAGTTTAATCAATCAAAAGATTCATTGCGACTAAATCAATGGAAATTGCATGAAATCGTATCAAGTGTAATTGTCCATTTGCGAAAATAGATTATTTTTATCTTAATAAAAACAACCTATAACCTTTACTTCTTTTGTGGGTAACACATTATGATTTGATAAACAAGTAGATTGAGAAATAAGGACGATTGTTTCATGTGTTGCATAGCAAGGAATAGTAGAATGATAAGGACAATAAGTAACCTTAAATAACAAGAAGCTAAGTGGGACCCGTATTTACATGTGATGTCTTAATCAATGGAGTTGAGCCATTTGTACTATTGTCCCCACTCCACTTCAACCCACAAGTTGCAGTATAATATAGACTTCTGAGTCTTGATAACGAGGTTGTAACTTCTCATCATGCAGCTTAATTTATTGGGTTGGAGAAAAATGTTAAACAAATGTGGTAATATGTCGGGTTTGAGGTTTAAAAATTAAGGTAGTTTACAATATTCTAGATTTCAATAGAAGCATGAAAATGTGCTCGATTTGAAAAGCTTGGAATGATATAAGACCAATTTTAATATGACTCGACTCCGACTCTGAATGTTGATAGTAGAAGTTCAAAAATGTGCCAAACTTGAATGGCGTGGCACGGCAAAAGGCCGACACTATCTTGGGCAAACCCATATACAGACTAGGGTCGAGTGGAACCTAATTGTAAGGGACCACTCTTGGGAGATTTATTTAAAAAGGAAAGGAAGAAAGAAAACTTAAGCAAAGTGAAAAGTGATATGTCGATATCAGATCATACCGATCAAGTTGACACCTCTCGATATCGTTCATCTACAATGAAACTTTGCCAAGCCAATCTTAGATGGTGGGATTCAAGCTTTATCATGTCTGCATTCTCAAAACTTGTTTTCATCTGCATTACCCCCACAATTCCAATTATGAGATTCCTGTACCACACTATTGAAAACTCCAAGAGATGGGACCAAATCAATCTACAAAGGAAGAGTTTTTGGACACATTTTGAGTCAAAGCAAGCAATTTTTGTTTCCTTATTTTCAGCTTTCAAAGACTTAGAACATAACATGAATTAATTACACTGAATGAGTCAATTTTCTCCTTTGCAAAGAAAATGTAAACTATTCCAAATACTCTTATCTTATTCATGCAACTATTTTTCAACAAATCATTATTCTCAGAAAAGTCCCACATAATATATTGATGACTTCTGTACATTTGCTTTTGTGATTCATAGTATATTGACATCTGTTTTGATGTATATTATTGTACTTGACGGCGATAACATATGTTAATTTTTCTCTACTCTCTCGTTCTGCTCCTAATGTATGCTACCGAAAAATCGTGTCACTTTTACAAACAAAAGTTTCTTTATATTTACGCAAAACATGTTGGCGCCCTCTATTTAAATAATTTTTTCCTTAATTTATCCTCTCAATGTGCTAGATTAAACTAAAAATTCATATCTAATTTTGAGATGTTGACACTCCCAAGAAAGCCTTGGCCATGTAAAATTTTAAAAAGAGTTATGAATCTGGACTGTCATGCATGAAAAAAGATTTCTTCTGCATGTGCTGTCTATGATTTGAAAAAGCAATCTTGAAATAGGAACAAAGGGCTTGGCTTTACCAAAAAATAGCTTTATAGAAAGGGAAAAATTTTCTTTATACAAAGGGAAATTTCCAAATTCTAAAGGATATCTTTTAATACTCTCAAGAGATGCAAACCCTTTTATGTCCACAGAATTAATGAATTATTTTCGTGAATTCATAAGAATCAAAATACATACACAAAATCAGTGCATGTCAAACGTAACCTAGTTCTAATCATTTGGCAAGATGGAGAGCTAACTATTGAGACATTGATTATTTGGACATATAATTTGTAAAGTAGTTCGTTACGTTAGCTAATCTTGACACGAGTAATTATGAAACAAAAATCGATGATTACTACATAGACTTCATGTTGCAAAGAGTATTAAAAAGTTTGTTGAATGTTGAAGACATCATTTAAATAAATAAGTCTACTCTATGTCTAAAACACACTAAAAGAAAATAGCATTTTGCAATAAGTCTATCCCATGTCTTTATTAAGGTGCACTTGTGCTCTGTGGCATTTAATGTCGTCGTAGAGTAGACGGATATGAAGCCAGACAATGCATGTTGCTAAATATTATAAAGTGTGTTGCCGTTAATATTTTAGCAACATGCATTTGCATTTATACGTTGCCGTTCATTCTATATAAATTGTTTACAACACACACTAAATGTTGTAAAATGATATTATTAATAAGGAGCAGACGAACGTTGCTAAATGAATCTATTTTAACAACATGCACAGAAAATTGCAAAATACGTTGCATATTCTTTTTTTAGCAACGGTCATTGCTCGTTAAATTTTACGAAGTACATAAAATTCTTTGAAACAAATTACGAACTTGCAAAAGGATACATTAGCAACTAATCGCAACATACATTTATTTGACTATTGTGATAAACCCCTTTTAACCACATGCTATATTACACTCTTAAGGTGAGACAATTCAATTTAGTATCGGATATCATGAGTTCCAAATCTCGTTAGCTACTTTTGTAAAAATCATGCATGATTGAGGCATTTTCACGTGAGATTGTATAGAAGACATAATTTCAATCTAACACTAGAATAGTATACTCTGAATTTGCTAGATTGCTCCAAGATAATTCAAAAATTGTTCAAAATTAAAATGAACAAAGAATGGATTAACGAAATGGGAAAAGGATCCTCCACAAGCCAAAATACATTTATGCTTTGATAAAAGGGTCTTCCATTGATGCCTTTGGTCACCTCAATTATATATGAAAGCAGATTCTAAAGGGACAGAGGGAAAGAGAAACAAACAGCTGCTACCACTGTAAGCATCGACTAGAATGTAAGAACTAAAAAGCAGAATACTTTTTTGCAAGGCATAAAAGAAACCCTTCCATGGAAAAAAGTTCAATGAATGCAACTTTTCATTAAGGAAATTTAAGTGGGTGCTTTTTATTTATTTATTTTATTTTATGTTATTTTTTCATGGAGAAGACTGGGTATGACTCTTTCGATCAAGTTGACTGTAAATTACTTGAATGTATTGTAAAAGAAAAATAAATTAAATTTTTTTTGTCAAATGTAGTGTCAAATGTATAACCCAACATGTCAAAGAAGATCATAGAGTTCATTTGACAAGGACATGAACATTAGGGTAAGCCTCAATTCTTGGTAGAGAAAAAGAGAATACTTGAGTTCAGAAACAATCTTTTTCTTCACAATAATGAAATCCAACAGCTGCAAATAGACTTTAACTCTTGCACTGAAAGTTTATTTCTATTTTGTATTATTATTGTTCTTGTAAGTACGAAATTTATTCGTTTAATCCATAGTCGCGTGCATGTCGAAATCATATTTTGACCGATATTATAAAATATATGTGACACATGAAATTTGTCCAAGTCTTTTGGGTGCGATTGTACCACGTCAAACTATTTCATCTAAAATTATTTATTTAAATTCTCTTAAAACACAAGTATTGTCATGTAGTCCAGACATGTTTGCCAGCTTTTTCCTTCTTCAAAGATACATTATGTTTCATAAGACCATATCAGGATGGGTCACCAAATAAAGCCTTATATTCAGAATTCAGCCTTCCTCTAGCAACTACAGCCACAACCTCTTCAAAAAGGAAACAAGTGGGAACTTGCTAGGCTAAATAGTTAAAGAGATATTTAGAAGATTTATTTAAAAAATGCGAAAATACATAAATATATATGATTTATTCATTAATGAATGTTGGTAAAAGTTGAAATTTAAAAATTACTACCTCCTTTCCATTACGATTTCACATAAATTAAGAAAATATAATTGATATAGTTGGAAATATAAATTAATATATACCCCGGTGTACAGACTCCCTCTCACAACTCTTGTAAGGGGGTTTGTGACATCCCAGTGTACCAATAGAAAAACCTATGTATGTTGAAGTTTTGCTGATGCTTGGCCACCATTCTTCAACTCACCTTTAAGTTATGTTGACAGGTAATTTCTTATCGCGGGCCCCCTCTTGTGAGGGAGTCTGTCAATCTCGATGTACAAATAGAAAATTTCATATATGTTGAAGTTTTGTTGATGCTTGGCCAC